AGGGAGAGGGCGCGTAGTTAGCAGATATGGGTAGGAATGTATGCTATCACGTATGTGGGTAGTTAAGAGGATAGGTTATGTACATTGTAAAGTGATGATTTAGAGAAGTAGAGAAATTAGGTGATAATATATGTTAATATGTGATGTATTCACTCTATTTTGTTTAAGGTGATGAAGGACTGGAAGTAGAATTTTCCCACAATGATATGAGTTGAGCTGACGTTTCCATTCAATTTCACACAACCTTGTTTTCCCATAAGTTTTCTCATCCAGAGTGGACTGCATTTTTAGACCTCGCATTGGTCGAGTGGTCAACGTGTCAAGCTCCCATTCTGCACTGTCACGGTTCGACTCCGGCTGGGCGTGTTGATAAGACCAATGCGAGGTCGAAAATGCAGTCCACTCTGGATGAGAAAACTTTTGGGAAAGCAAGGCAATGTGAAATTCAATGAAATCGTCAGGTATAGTCATATCATTGTGGTTAAATTCTACTACCAGTCCTTCATTACCTTAAACGAAATAGGGTGAATACATCTCATATTACTGATTTACTGGTAGTCTCGAAACTCTACTCAAACACGAATAATATATGTTGTTGTGGAGACTTTCATTTAATATGAAAGTATCTCCAACAATCTTATCTCTGGAGCTTAATCGAAACTCAGTTACCATTCTTATCTAGAGTATACGTTAGTGTACATGTATTCGGATAAGTTGGTGGATAGAAGACAAAAAGGTAGGAATATATATCTGTAGGTAAATAGGTGGGTTGAAAAAAAATGGTTTGAGGAGTAGAGAAGTAGGTATAAATAAACAAGTAAGTAGGTATAGCGTGCAGGAGGGCAAGTGAATGTCTAGGTAGGTTGGCAAATTTGTACAGCTAATGTGTGTATGTATGTAGATTGGTAGGTAGGAAGATAGATCGGTAGGTAGACAATTAAATTAGTAGGAAGTCAGTCTGGTGTGAGATGGATTTATAGACAGATAGTTAACTTGATTAAAAGATAGTTGTGACTTGGGTAGGTGTAGAGTTTGCTCGTTACGTAGTTTGGTAGATAGGTACGTTTTTGGTTAGAGCGTAGATATGAATACCAAGATGACGTGGCCTTTGATTTGAGTGCAGTCTCCTTTAGCTGTATAGTGTCGGCTTGATCTCGTTTTCGCAACTTGGTTGCAGCGATAGGAAGACCCTGTGGAACGCACATAGTCCTGCGTCTTCTGACATAATATTCGTGATTATCTTCCGCATCAGACCGTTGACTTGGTACATCCCAAAACATTTCGATGGCGTCGTAGTCGGCATCGTTAGCACAGAGTTACAAGTTTTCCGTGTAAATTTGATAAAGACGCAGGACTAGATTATTTCAGTAATATGAGATGTATTCACACTATTTGGTTTAAGGTGATGAATGACTGGTAGTAGAATTTACCCACAATGATATGAGTAGAGCTGACGTTTTCATTCAATTTCACAGAGCCTTGCAGAGAAAAACTTTTTATTTTGTAATGTCATTGTGGGAAAATTCTACTACCAGTCCTTCATCGCCTTAAACGAGATAGGGTGAATACATTTAATATTACTGATTAACTGGTAGTCTCAAAACTCTACTTACATACGAAAAATAGATTAGTTCAACAAGATCTTCCTGTCGCTCCGACTAATTTGCGAAAATGAGGTCAAATTAAGTTTTTCGTCAGTTCACTTCAAATGTTATATCTGTCTTTTCGCATTGCCTAATTTGTAACCTTTCCTCTATGAATGCATTTTTTGTCAACTTAACTATTGTTTTCCTATTTCAATGGCGAATATTTTATCTGCTTGCATACAATTTATGGCTATATTCTTCGTTACTTTAGTGTCCAAAAGCCTTCTGCCGTTGCTGGTTACCAGAATACCGTAAATATTTTCCTCCTTTTCTATTCACAACCGGACCGAGTATCACTTTTCCAGAGCTCCATTGACCACGTATCTGTCAATTGCAATGACAACCGCGTACGTTTTTTTTTACAGATACTCACCTTGTCACAATATGCGCACGGATAAGCCAGCAAGGCCATCCTCGGGCACTTGTGTCCGGCCAATTGGAAAGCGTCTGGATACCAAACTTCACACAACCTGCAAACATAGTCGCCAAGCTTGTTCTCAATTCTGGCCAGAGCAGCAAGTGCTTCGGAACTGACGACTGGAGCGAACCCAGCAGCGGACTCATTGGGCATTGATGAGCTGCTGTTGGCAGCATTCACGGTGCAGCTGAGGGTACAAATGGAGGCCAGCTCGAGTCTGGACGGACTCTTGCCCGCTGCCCTGAGGGTCATTTCTGGGGCTGGGCTTGCCGCCAGAGAAAGTGCTCGGGAGGCGGATGAAAGGGAGCCTGGAGAAAGCTGGGCGTTCGGCGAAGGAGG